GCGGGCGATAGTTCCGACGTTCGTAGTAGAGAGCGTCTTTGGAGGTATTGGTGGAGTGATAGAGACATACTTGGCTTATCAGGATCTCAAGATCCTGGCGAGGAGACCTGCCGACCTGGACTATATCTATTATTCGCTCGCGACTGGTGGGCCTCGTTGGGGAGACGAGAGGGTTCAACTTATAGAGCTGATCCGCTCGATAGATGACGAGTGACCCAGCCTTCGTGCGTTTGGGATTGGCTAGACCGTGAGCTCCAAGCAGGCCCCGAGTACGTGACCTGCATCGGGCGGCTCTTCTCAGACGACTGGGGGAGCTGGTGGAGTGAGGACGCCGGGCGACCTCTGATATACGGCCATCAGTTGACGGAATACTACCAGGCCATAGGACAGACGCCATACCGCGTCGAGGACGAGTTTGACGACGGGGGTTGGGAGCGAGAGGACGACGAGGAGCTGTGGGAACCAGACTGGGTCGACCCAGAGAGTGAGGTTGACGAGGAGGAGATTGACGTTATAGACGCCCATTTTCCCAGGATAGGAGTAGCGGTCCGGGCGTAGGAGGTAGAGGAGCGCACCAGGGCGACGGTTGAGTAAGCCTGGCTACTGAACCTATTCGACCATACTGGACCTGAGTGCGAGAGTTGTCTGAAGGGTTAGCAACGTCGGAAGATGGGGTGCATCGGAGGGAGTAAAGTGAAGCTGACCGAGAGTAGGAGAAGAAATGAGGAGTGATTCAGCGGCCTAGTTAGCTTATGTTCTCACGCGAGAGTCCGAATCGTATAGTGTGAAGAAGCTTGTGGGACCCAGAGAGACGACGGTTGGATACGACATACCACTTTCTGTGGCGCTAGAAGAGGCAGGGTGTGTACCAATACGATACTTGGGAACGTGGCTCGCTGAGGGGCTCTTCCTATGGACGGTGATACTACGAGACGAACGACCCAAGAGGACTCATGATCTAGAAGGGGTCGGACATCTAGTAGCGGATAGAACACACGATTTAGAGATAGGGCTAACGCTCGCAGGGGCAAGCAGGAGTTGGTGGAGAAGCGAGTTGTTAGGCAGAGTGATCGTTAATCAGCAATTGGCGAGACTCGCTGGAGGAAGGACGAGTAGGAGCTGCTTGGTATACGGTCCACCACATCCGACCCTCTACCCAAGAAAGGATTGGCGGTTCGGAGTTCCTACCTTCGTGGTAAGGCAGACCTATGGGAGCGTGGATCGTTTGAGGAGAGCAGTAGATCACACACTGCACGCGCTCTGGGAGGGCTTAGCGCCCCGCTTCAAGGAAGTATACTACGCCGTTTGTGTGAGGTGGGGGCCGCCCAGTAGAGAGACGCTTGACGACATCATAGATGTTACAAGCTGCGTAGACTGTCTGAGGCCCATCGATCTGATTAGGTACTGCAGGAGACGGGCAGAGATCGATTACGCGGGACTAGAGGACGCGAGATTTCTCTTCGAGGTCGCAGCTTAGGGAATGCCGGGAAGGACGGCCACGGTGATGCGTGTAGAAGAACAACTGGTAAGTACAGGATACACTGTGACAGTACTTCTCCGAGCGTACGTAGATGAGGACTTGACGGCGGGTGAGTGCAGACAACGAGCTAGGGATTTGATCCACGAGCGTAGAGCTGATGTACTGGCGCGAGTGGCCTTCCAGACCTCGATTACTTATGTTGTGATGATATGGTCTCATGGTTATATGCGCGCGGAGCACTACCACGATGAGACGGTAGAGGAGGCTAGAGCGAGGGTGAGAGGATGAGTTGGAGAAAGATGTGGACTGAGAATGGAAGAGGAGAGTGAGGCAGTCGGAAGAGTGAGAAAGCGCGTTAAAGAACCACTCTTGAACCAGGTAAAGAAGTAGGGGGACAAGTTAAGGGAGATCTGGTCGTGTCAAGACGAGGGCAAGTTGTGAAGGGCTGAACTCGTGACAAGAGAGTTAGACAATCTGTTTAGGGACGAAAGAGAGATTATCCAGGCGTGGAGATCAGACTTTCTGGAGAGGGTAAAGGCAAGAAGCGTATCACGCAGAGAAACTAGTAAGCGATCTACAGAAAGCGAGACAACGGAAGACAAAGTTACGCAGGGGAGTAGCGATGGGACATGAGCGGGACTGCACTACACACGACGGATTGGTACTCATTACATGTGGTAGGGAGACTGGATGGACCATTAGTGTTAGTGATCATAGAACTCCAGCTCCATACCAGACTGTGCATAGTTGAGGAGACAGAGTGTTTCCGCCGTGCCCTGCGTGAGGCAAGGGGGACAGGGCTTTGGATTGGAATAGAAGGAGGACGGAGGATAAAATACGTACTCCGAGTAACACCCTTCGAAGGGCGGTCTCGGATAAAGGCATGGTATTAGACGACCAGAGAGGCTGAGAGGTTGAAGATAAGCGAAGCCAGGAAAGCTGGGGAGTTAGGGAGAGTAGTAACAGATGGTGCAGTACTCAGGGTGTTAGCCGCTCACAACCGGTACAGGAAGGAAACGATGAAGACTTTAGAGGCGATAGACGAAGGGGGAGATAGTGAGGACTTTGAGACATTTTATGATATATTGGAGCGGTCGACGATGAGGTAACAAGTCGTTATAGCACTAACTTACCTCAGCTGTTAGAAAGATGACCTCGTAACCGTTGAGGAGATAAGGTAGTGGAAATAGAAATTGGAAAGGATAGAGGAAGCTAGAAAGGTCGATGGGCGACATTGGGCGACAGTAGGAGGGCCTTTAGCAGGCTAACCGATTCAGACTGGGCTAGGAGAACTAGCAAGGAGGACGGAGAGAGACGCTCAGGGACTCTTGAGAAGTGTTGATCAGGAAACATTGGCTAGGTTTGGGATTGAAATCTGTCTCAAGGATAGAGGTCCTGTCACGGGCGTACTGTGGATCCGGACAGGCACGACCTTGTTGACCGATCCCGAAGGAGAGGTTTACTTAGACACAGGGATTCTTGGAATAGAGAGAGAACACAAGATCTGCTACCGGTACGGGATACTGGAGGTGGTAATCAAGGCAGTCGAGGGCTAAGATTGGAGGCGGACGTGAGTCGTGACAAAGAAACAGGTCCGGGCTGCCGTGACTGTCATAAATCCGGGCTGCAGCGACTGTCATAGGGTTGGACTGTAACAGTAGGCTAGAATACCTAGCTGCATCTTCTGACGGTCCAATGGAACCCGACACGATGGGGCCACAACCGACCACGAGCGAAGCGGGAGAAGAGTACAGGGCATCGCYYGATCGAGCACTGAGGGATCTGAARGAACGAATTAGGCAAGAAGCACCGCTGAGATGGGCTGACCAAACCAATGACGGAGGGCCCGACATGAGAGGCGAGCCAGTTGCGACAGAGCCGCAGGAGGCTCTAAAGACGCGTACCTCGAGCGGACGGCGAGGAGCGACGAGGCAGCGCTCCCCCGAGTACAAACGGAGGGACACCATAGCGGACAGGTACAGAGACGACTGGAGAGAGAATTTGAGGGATTCCTATTGGAGGGACAGAGATAGAGACAGGGCGCCGCCCAGGCGAGCCTTCGACCCCCAGACAGGGGAGTCACATCCGCTCCCTTACGAAAGCAAGGACCGCTATATTATTACGCACAAGGTCTTAGAGCCCCCTACCTTTAGGGGCTATGGTATCACGGAATATCTGGAGAAGTGGGAGCTTCACGCCAGCCGGAGTCAGTGGTCGGAGGAAGAGATTATAGAGAACTTCCTATTTAATGTGGACCCAAGTCTTGATAGGGAAGTTAAGGAAGCTCGACCGAAGGATGGAAAATGGACTACGTACAAGAAGAACCTCGTTGAGCTTTACAAATTGGAGGATAACAAGTATTCCA